TACAGCCAATTTTCTAATGCTTTTGCAATGTAAAAGTAGAACATCAGACTATGTCCATGGCATTGAAATGTGTTTTACATAGTAGCTAGTCATCCCAATGTCCAGAACGCAAACCAGAATTATTTGGCATAATAATTCTGTGAGTACGTCTCAACTCACATTAAATAAGACAAAAGACACAAAGACTAAAATGACACATGTGTTGAAATTAGCAAGCAGTCATGAGAACTCTTGAAATAAATGAAAATACACAATGCTTCAGCAAAGAAATAGAAGGTAAAAAAGTGAAAACATAGGAATCGAAGAATACAATAACCAAAATAATAATAAAAAAGTCAATTAATAATAGGTAGATAATGATAGACACAAAAATAAGGTTAGGTATAGAAAGTCAAACTATCTAAAATTACTGTAAAAATTTACTATAAAGCTACAGTGAGGTGCTGGGAAAGATTGAAAAACAGACCAATGGAACAAAATCGAATTCAGAAATTGACCACACAAACATGGCCAATTCACTTTTGACAAAGGTGAAAACTCAATTCAATGAAGAAAGCTTAAGTCCTTCAACAATTTGCGCTGGAACAATTGGATATATCCAAATGTAACTCACATTGAGATATATATAGATATAGATATAGATATTTAAATAAATCCAATGTTCATTTAATATTTTATACAAAAAATTAGTTAAGATTAAGCATACATCTAAATGTAAAATAAAAATATGTAAAATTTCTAGAATAAAACCTGAGAGAAATTTTTCACGATGCAGCATTAAGCAAAGTATTCTTACATATGACTTGAAAAACTCTATCCATAAAAGAGAACAATAATAAACTGAATTTCATAAACAGTGCAAAGTTTTGCCCTACTAGAGACATGATTGGGAGAATGAAACATCAAGCTACAGGCTGAGAGAAAATATGTACAAATCAGATATCCAAATCAAGACTTGTATTCAGAATATGCAAAGGACTCTCAAAACTTAACAGAAAATAAATAAATAACCTAGTTTAAAAATGAGCAAAACGACAGACACTTCAGCAGAGAGGATCTATAGATAGGAAACAAATTCATGAAAAGATGCTCAACACATTAGCATTACAGAAACACCAGTTAAAATCATAAGAAGATACCCCATGTCTGTTATATTGATGAAGATAAAAAGCACGGACAATCCCAGATGCTGACAAAGATGCAGGACAACCTCGCTGGAGGGATTAAAAATGGCCCAACCACTCGGGAAAACTCTGCAGTTTCCTATAAAATTACACATACGTAACACAGGACCCCGTAATCGCTCCCAGGCAATTTATCCTAAAGAAATAAAAAAGAGAAACTTGTTCGCAAATGTTTATTGAAACTGAATTTGTAAACGCTGCAAATTGGAAACTACTCGAATGCTGTTCAACGTGTGAATGGATATAACTATGTAATGGAATACTAGTCAGCAATAGAAATGAACCAAATATTGGTATGCATAAAAAATTGAATGAATCTCAAGGCATTTTGTTGAATAAAACAAGTTTTACATTAAATATCATTTGATTCCCTTTATCAGATATTCTAGAAAAGGCAAAATTATAGGGACCCAGAACAGCAGTGGTTGCCAGGGGTTAGGGGTTGGAAAAAGATGACTATAAAATTCTTGAAAAAAATTGTTTGGTTACTGGAGCCATTCTGTAGTTTGATTCTGGTGTGGCTCCACAAATTTATACATGCATTAAAATGCATAGACCATTACACCAAAATCAAAGTATCGATTTTACTGCATGAAAATTAAAAAAATAATAATAAATATAAAAAAACACTTTGCCAGTTTATCACCCACCTTCTGGCACACATGTGTAGCACACTCATCTTGAGAAGAAAAATGTCCTTGTGAAGAAACAGGTACACATAGAAGTATTTACAAGTCCCTCAGCAAGAGAAGTGTAGTTTCCTTGGGAGCAGGGCCTGCTCCTGCTGGAGAGGGCTGTTGGCAATTATTGAGAGTTCAAGGTTCTCAGATTTATCATGGCCCATTCAAAAATATCTTTTCAAAAATCTTATTTTCTCCCTGCTTCCTATTCAATGCCTATTTTTCCCAGAGGAGAGTTACCAGAAACTCTGAATTCAATTCACTGTTTCACTAAACTTTTGCACAATTATATATTGTATCTGGTTTTCAGCCATATTTCCCCTGCAGCTAAAAGAGGTAAGATATTTTTAGGGCTTCAATAGAAACTCTCAGGTTCTCTGATTGAGTCTTTAGCCCTGCGCTTGTCATTTGTTTGTGTGAGAGCCCAACACATGGCCCTGTAGTCATTATTACTCTGCTCAAGTGAAGTCAGCACATGGAATGCACACATGCTGTCTCCATTAGCATTCTACACCAGGCAGCAACAGGTAATTATTACAAGTAACCTGGATGCCAGTGGTGCTGTATGTAATGTCCTATCTTCTGTGGGGAAGGAAGGCATCACTACAGATCAAACAGTGGGCAACCCAACGTCAGAATCCCATTTTTGAAGGTAGGTTTTCTGGTGCTAGTGGGGATAGGTAGAGTGAAGACAAGGAGAAGAGACTAAGAAATACTTGGAACTGAATAGCAATGCAAAACTTTCATATCAAAATTATAACTGCAGTATTACTCAGTGACACTTATCAGAAAACTAGATATATTGAAAGCAACTGAGGTAACTTTTTAATTCCAGAAAATGAAAAAGATCAATATAGCAAGCCTAAATAACCATGAAGAAGCAAATAATAAATTTGAGCTTACATATATATGAAATAATGAACAAAAAAGGAAACCCAAAAAGTTAAGAAGTTCAGGAAAAAGATGCTTAAATTCATTAGCAGACAATTTCAAAGAAAAGAAACAATAGGATATCATTTTACCAACCACATAGATCATGGCCTAATCTAGTCAGCTGCCTGTTTTTGTACAATCCACAAGCTAAGAATGATTTTACATGTTTACATGGTTTAGGAGGAAAATCAAAGGAAGAATAATATTTCATAACCTGTGAAAATTACTGAAATTTACATTTCTGTGCCCATATAAAAAGTAGTATTGGAACATAGTTTTTTTAAATTAATTTTAAAAAGATATTGATATTCTACACTGATCAGATAAACAAAAAAAAGAAAAGTAATTATAAATTGGGGATTTTACAGGGAAATGAGGGAATTCATATAGTTTTGGTAAGAATGCAAACTTGTGCATTGCTTTTGAAAAGCAACCTGGCCGGATTTACTGAAACTATGTAGGTGTATATCCTATGACTCACACGTCCCTCTCCTGTGTATAACTGTCCCCGAGAAAATCACAGATCTATTAGGTAACAATCACAGGACTAACTCTGGTGCCAATATTTGTGATATCCCAAGTTGGGAGCAACGGAAGTGTTCACTCCTAAGAAAACAGGCAAATAAAATATGATGTTTCTAATAGAGAATACTGTCCAACAATTAAAAGCAATAAATTCAATCTGCACATGGCAACACTGGTGGCCTTAAACATTGAGGGTTATGCTAAAAAGAAAGAAAGAAAGAAAGAAAGAAAGAAAGAAAGAAAG